CTGTCCAGAGAATAGATATTAAACGAAAACAAATAAGAAACACGAACATACAACATATCGATTCGAAATGACTACATGTTGGATGTCGTAAAAATATAACCGCCCACGGCCGAACAAAACGAACTATAATTACTTTCTAAATGGTCATCTGATACGCTATTGGCATTGTAATGAATCTATTAATAGTTTTTATTATTAATAAATTAATAACACAATTTGTTATTGGTTGTATGTATCAAATTCAATATTAGTTACCTACCTTGTGACTGTTTCTTTGATCTTAGAAAACTTAGCCTTTGGTTAGTCTTACTAAGTCTTTGGTTTCAGTGTTGGTAATGTATGTCCTTAGTTAGTTACTTACATGTTTTCAATCGTAGGTAGGTTTTTTATGGGATAAGCCAGTAAACGAGCAGCCAGATAACCTTATGGTAAGCAATCGGCGCCGCCCATGGACACCCGAAACACCAGAGGCGTTACAAGTCCGTTACCGGCCTTTTGGGGATTAGGAATTTTAACATTGTTGGTAATTCGGAGTTTGGGACGATTGGGGAGGGGTTAATTGGGCCTTCGGTAACCTCACTCACACAACGAAACACAACGCAAGCGTTGTTTCACGTTGGTTTTCTGTTGAGCTGGAGACGGTGTATCACTTTGGTTGAACCGGCCCATTCGTGCCGAAGAATGGCTCTCCCAGACATACAGGTACAATTTAATTTTAAATAAGTACTTATTCTGCGTATTTATTCTCTTAACTCAAGTTAGATTGTATTTGAATCTTTGATTTTGTTTCATAACTATTTTAATGTAAGTCAAAATAAAATGGTTACGGTAGTTAATTAGGCAAGAAACGTCAAACTGGTGAGTGACCGTTTAATGATGGAAGCATCCGATTATGAAATTAACTAATTTATGATCAGATGTATTACAAACAATGTAATATGGTAAACAGTAGCAATATAGTTAGGTACCTACTCATAAAGTTGTCATACATTGTAGTCCAATAGTTAGTTATTAAGTACATTAGTACCTAGATACTGCAATGTTCTTCGCAAGAAGTGTATCCGAAAGTCATAAGTTTTGCATCGATAGTAGGGACCTTCCGTTAATTATATTTGTTTTGTGTATTTCCATATTTCTTTGTAGTTGGTACTCCTAATTTATGAAGCTTTTTAAGTTATTTTTTATCGATATTTGTACGATTAAAAATAAACAGCACACATTTTAAATCGACGACTGTTCTCCGATATGTATATTGAGGAATATTTTTTGTCTCCAGAAAACCCAATATCAGGAGTTCAGGAGCCTCAAGCGCTAAATTCAACGATCCGTGAAGCTTACGTCAATTCGACATTTTTTAAGACTAAATGCTCGGAATTTCTCGTACATTTTTCTTTGTCTTGCGACCCGGAATGAGGACGAAGCCAGTCCACTCTCGGATATTACGAAGCAAGTCACATTTTTCTCCTTTTTACATTTATCAGATTGCAGCGTTGCAGGCTACATGAACCTACGAAGGATTTGTTTAGAGTTATTAGTAAGTTTTTACCTAGATTACATTCGTGAAATATTCGATGTGACGACCAAACTACACAACAAATCTTACAAATTTGTGTGTTAATTTAGTATTTATGCGTCCAACATCTGATAATACAATTCAACTATGACTGACTGTTGAAAAGTTTAAAAGAACTACAGAAGCCCCAATCTTCGATCCCAATCCTAAATACAAAAGCCTCCAAAAAGGCCGGCAATGTACTTGTAATTCCTAGGGTGTTTCAGGTCGGAACCGCGGAGGGCTTAATGAGTTGCCGGGGCTCCGGCTCGAAGTGCAGGAGTAGGAACGGGGTGGTTTTTAGTCAGTAAGAGTCTGACACTCCCTCTCATCTCACCCAGGAAGGAGAAGCCATTGAACAAAAGAACACACATTCGCCCCTCAAAAAAAAGTATAGTCGTATATTAATACTATAGCATGCTTTATGTCTTTAAGGATGTGTTTCAGGTGGCCATAGGCATCGCCGATTGCTTACTGGCGTGATCTGTCTGCTCGTCTGCCGACTTAGTTATCTATCTCATAAAAATTTCAATTATAAAGAACTTCTAAGGCAGCCTATTAGCTATCAGTTATTCTAAACCACGGGATAGAGACTACATAATATAGTTATTCTGAGAACCATATAGATATCTCAATCTCATCAAAAGACGAAACAATAAGACAGTTCCGATACGGAAATGAGTCGTCACAGAAACACGCAAGTATGTTCATAATGGACAATAGCATCGGTGCGCCACAGTGAAACGTTTGGGCATGTGTCAAGAATTAATTACCGACAATCGGGACGTTTGGGATACAGCCAAATGTGAAACACTGTGTAAGGTTTTTAAATAAATTTTAATGTCGATACAACATAATAACTACAATATAGGATAATGGTGAAGAATCATGTTATAAATTAACTTTAAACTAACTTTCAGGTATTTCTCAAGGACTTGAAGTTATAGACGACTATAAAGATACCCTTCGAAATGATGATAATTCTCTTTCCCTTGGTATGTGCCGTAACAGGCGTTTCACTGTGGGGATTACGGGGCAGGTCTTTTATAGAAGACCCCTGTGCCACCTATGGGGGGTGATGATGGTGGCCACCGGGCTCGTTTTAGTTAGGTAGGAATCGCCACACTCTCTAGTCTTTCTCCCCAAACAAGCTAGGCGCCTTTTGAAGGTGGTTTCCCCCCGTTCTAAAAAAAGGTACCTAGTTACAGTCGAAAAACGTCGGTTGACTAGGTTCATAAGGGCTACTAACTAAGATGAGATTACGAAGACCATCGTTAAGCAGACTAGCCACTAAACAGCAACAAGACAGACAAATCTATATCTATTTCAACAAATGAAACAAATCCCTTCACTGGAAACAATTTCTAATTTAACAAAACAAACGAGAGATATTCCAAATGGTATTTGTGTGACACAATTCCATACAGGACTTAATTCATTTAGTCACAAGTCACGCGACACTCGACTATGTAACACGCTTGTACACAACATGCAAATTCTTTATTGTATTAATTCTCACGACCAACGGTTTCTGTAATAAGTAAAAACAATGTTAATTGAGGATTTCAATACCTTTTTAACATGATCAAATTGATCAGGTTGGTCTAATTTAAGATTTGGTTTTGCGACGTAGATAACTACCCAAATTATGGGAAGCTTTTTATATCTTTTCTAAGTGTACCATCGCAGAAATATGAAAAAGTTCTTTAATAGTCTACCATAGTTAAGAGTTAGGTTAGATTATAACCTAACCTGTATATTTACCGATAAGTCTACAAACAGTGTGATTAGGGAAAAGTGTGGATTCAAACAGTGAGATAACGTATTAAAAGTTGAAGACTATAGAGTATTGTAGTATCGATAACAACACTAAACAACACCAAGTGTTTGGGATAATTTCATATCGTCTTTAAAAGAACTAATTTCCTAAAAACAAAAATAACATTTAACTTCAGTGACTGTACAGTGTACATCACTATTCAAATCCAGAATTCCACAAAAAAACCGCGTAATTTAAAAAGAGAGCGAAGCAACCTAACCTATATCTTTAAACACGCTCAAGTGGCAAAGGAAACATTTCCTTCAGCCTACACGGAACAGGTTATAATAAGCAAAAAGCAAATGGCAAGTAAAATTAACACAATAATGCTGGTGCCGACTTGTGCCGTAAAAAACTTTGCGAATAGCTGCAGACTAGCTCGAGGGAAAGGCGCATGCGTGCGAGTTATTATTTTTAAATATTTTCTTCTTTAACGACGTTTCTTTTGAAGTCATGAATGAATTTATGAGTTGTAATGAGTTTTCTTTGTGCATTGTCATTGATCAACTATTTCGCTGTGGACTAGTTGAGTTTTAAAATGTTTTTTTTTGTATTCGTTTTGATTTGTTTCGCATTTGGATTAGTTATGGCGGGATTTATTAACGAAGCTTTGAAAATAGGAATGATATAGATTGATGTTAGTTTCTAATATTAATTGTTATGACTACTTATTGTTGTAACGTTTCGTATCTTTTATATGAGGTAACTTGTGTCTAAGCTGAATCTAAATACAAGTTTACAACTAAAAACTAGAGATCCAAAGACAACGAAGAATATAGTCCTTTCAAATGGTCTATTAAGGTCCTAGGCCCCTACACCCTACTCAAGTACTTAGATTAAGGAAGTACAGTATAGTAACAAGAACTTCAGGTGCAATGTGCGACAGGAATCCCTTTGTCCACTTTAACGACAACTAAAATAATGGACCTATCCATTTGTACATGTCTTAGATGTCTAACTGACTTGACAGTAGCAAGACTTACCAGGCGTTAAAATATCCAGTCGTTAACACATCTCGTTTAAAAAAACAAAACAATACACCACACAACCTCTTTGCTGTGTTAACTCATGTGACTCTCGTTCTAAATACGAAATAAGAATAACTGGCCGTTAACTAGGAATTGTTTTACATATTTATTTTCTCATTTTAAATTCTTTTGACATCTGTCAAAAAGACCTGTTTGGCGTTTGTTTTGTTTGGTTTCATATCGTTTGTAGATAAATTATGACTGTTTAGCTATTTACGTCCAAGAGCAAATGGACAAGTTAAGAGCCGCAATTGAATTTAAATGATTATTAATTATAAGTCCCTACCAAATAAAAAATACTATTAAAATGTATTATTCAAAGTTACCTATTAAGGTCTACCAAGCTATCAATGAAGTTACGAATAATTTCCTTGTTATTTTCCTTGACCTAATAAAACGATACAATATACCTACCTATATGTACACAGTCGCTCATGTACTGCGTACTCACATCCTCAGGTTGGTAAACAAAAAACCGCGTAACATTCTACGTAGTACAATCGAAGGTAATTTGTATGGTAAACATTACCCAATTACGAATTCAAATCTGAATCTAAACAAACTCAAATGTCAATAAAATTAGAAACAGTATCACACCCACCTTTTAGGTTTCCACCTTCTAATGAATACTCCAAACATATTCGTGTCAGATTCTAACTTCATTCACATCACTAGTAAACACTTCACCCTTCACACTTCAGGTCACAACACTACGCGAATCTTACACACACATTTTGTACCAACAACAATTTTTAGTTTATTTTCACTCAAACGAAAGTAGAAACTACATAATCAACGTTAAAAATAAGCGTTCCTAATTTAAATTTTCAATGTTTACTAACAACTAGTACAGCACTAGCACTAAGAATAGACAAGATGATACACTAATGATACGATTCGATTGTGGAATCAATAAATAGATGTTAGTATTCGATTTTTGATGTCACTGTTTTTTTCTCGATGACGCGGCGACGCTCACACGTGCGGCCCGCGCAAGCGATGCACGGCGACTGGCTGGCTCATGGCTCCCGTTGCATTGCAATATGCAGCTGGTGTATATCCCGGCTTTGTATTAATAAATTTTAGATGTCAACCGCTTTGCGTGGAAGCTGGTTAAACTTGGTAGTTGTTAGGCTGAATGGGATAGTGTCATTGCCTTTAGTTTGCTAGATGTAGGAAGGAAATTATGGCAATTGTAAATAGTTATATTATTTTGTATTGCGCATTGCTTGTGAATGTGACCACATAATAATTATGTAGATTGAATTTAGTAATTTATTCTAAGTGCTGTGGTTAGAAATGAAGCTAATTGAATGCTTGGATATTTGCGTACTAATCAATTTTGCCTCGCTAGTAATACAGACCGTAGAACTTATAACAATGTATTATAAAACAGAAATAGGCCTTATCATAAATTCAAAGGACTAACAAACACCAAAAACGTCACGTACAGCCAATCCTTTTTTTTCAAAACTAAATAAATCAGAGATAGCGAAAGGTCCCGACGGAGGGAGAAGTACAAGATAAGGCCCCGTGTCCCACTTTCAAAGTATTCGTGAACTGGATCTATCAATGTTCCCAGGGGCACGTCAGATGATGACTAGGGTTGCCGACTAGCCCAATTTTTTACCCCATTTCCCATTTCGGAAAGGAAATCCATTTAGACGTATGATTTTGTTCGAACCCGTGTAATTTACTTTCGATATTTTTGGTCATCTGTGTCTGTCCTATCGAGGGTTCGTTACTTTACTGACGATAAAGGGTATTCTGTGTAAACTTTGAATATTTTTTATATGATTATATTAATTATTGCGGAAAGTCATTAGCGATCCAAAAGTAAGCCAAACGCAACAACGAGAAATACTTGACCCAAATAATCGACTAACAAAATAAAATCGACTAAAAAGTTCGAACTCTCAATTTTCCAATCCAACGAGCGCGTTCGATATTCGAAAAAATGAAATGGCAACACTACAGGTGACCTACTTCCGAGGATCGGTTTGAACGTAATAAGCTCCCCTCTTTGCGGTTACGTGGATCCAGAGATTCATTTGATCAAGATTAGTATCTATGGAGTTATGGAGTATGGAAAACAAGGAATACCACCTAAAGTGTTTATCTAATTCTGTATTTGATTGTTTTTTAATGATCACTATCATTTTATTTACTTCGGTCAGGTATCTACCTTAAGTGTTAAGTTTAACCTTTAGTTTAGGTGCTTTTTTAAAACGAAACAAATGGTAAAATCTGCTTTATAAGAAGTTGTCTATGTGGACGTAAATTGAATACAAAAGCTTTTTACCTAATGGGGGCTACCGTATTTTTTATTACCAAACGGCGCAAATGTAGTAAGACTTGAAGAAATACTGAACATCCAATGGCGTGACACAAGCTGATTCCCCATTGCACGTAGGCCCCATTGCGTAACCTATAACAGCTACTTCGTCTAAGTACAGTTCTCCTAACCCTTATTACTTCAAGTTGAACCCGGTTATGTATTAATTTAAAGACTCATTCGATCAAGGCAATCATTTCGTTTAGACAGAGATTTCGGTACCTTTTAATGAGGCAACGGAGAACTCGAACTCTCTATACTATGGTCTTCTTCCCGACCAAGCGCGAGATTATGACAAACCCTCATAAATAGAAGACTTCATAATCCATCAGTGTACTGCCATGATAATGTGATTACGATTGTCATCTCTATGACTTTGGTTAGGGAAGTCGCCAATTGAAGCCAAAATAGGATCCTGAATTATACTTTAATTCGACGCTAAAACATAATTCCACCAAACGGTTAGAGGCGTGGGTGTTAGTCACTATCTATCTTCATAAGACTATCGTTTTGCCAATTTCATTTATGATACCATTTTGGAAGATCACAGTGATGCTGTACAATAGCTCATGAATATAAGTTTGCAAAAAGAAGCCATTTTATCTTCAGGTAGTATGTATATTGTCCCATAGAACCATTTTCGGAATGACTAGCAGCAGTTGTCATGGCGACACGAACTCACTATAAACTAACACTTAGTTTAGGTTTCAAAGCTTCCAAGATCCGTGAGAAAATATTAAACGATACGACAAAAAAAAAACTGCAAATAAAGAAAGACCAAAGTACGTAGATAACAAAAAACATAATCGCGTGTCTGACATGACCTTGTACACGACACGCCATGTCCTTGAACTTGAAGTATTTGTTCGAATTTTGTCTATTTTAATCAATACAATGACAAGCGGTTTTCACCCTTAACGCGATTACGTAGTAAGACTTTAAAAGTCAAAGTCATTCTTTGGTACCTACGTTTAAATGTTTTCCAAATGCTTTATATTATGGCTATTCTTTTAGAGCTGTGCATCCACAGCTATATAGGTAGGCCATCGTCTACCGTCATGAACAGGGTGGTTTTTAGTTAGAAAGAGACTGTAAATCATTAGATGGTGTTCCCCCTAACAAAACAGGCTTTTGGTCAAAGAGGTAAGAATATCCTTTAGAACGACAATAGCTATTAGACTTGGTTTTCGCAACCGGCTGCTTTTCAATTTCAGAACGAAACTATTTGACTAGAGAAAAATATATTTTGAGTCGTTTACAAAATAGATAACATTGTTATGTTTATGTTTAACATCACGCCTTTTATCCCCGAGGTAGGCAGAAGTGTACACAGAAGTAACACCCACTTTTCACTACTAATTATGTTATGCGTCCAATGAAATAGGGGGTGAGCCTATTGCCATATACCGGGCACATTTCCAGACTCCGTGCTACTGCTGAGATTTTTTTAAATACCCAGTAATCTTTTCCCGACCTAGGAATCGAATCCGAGACCCTTTGCCAGGCAGTCGCACTTGCGACCACTCGGCCAAGGCAAGGCACTCCTACAACATAGATACTTATAGTTAAAATATGTTTTAAGAAATAATTATACGATTAAACAAACTGTTTTACATAGCAAAGACGTCATATAATGAAAATTTCGCCTCACCCAAGCATATATTCATAATGTGCTTTGCAAGTATTCACTTGAGGCAGGCGTATACTAGTGCTCTCAAAGACGACGTCGGCGTTTAATGAGGCTGAATATTTAGGCTTCACTATAATATTAATTCGAGAGCTATCTTCCTAAGAGAGAATTATTATTTAGAGTTATAACGGAGAATGGATGCTAATATGGGTAATTGAGTATGAGACTAAGATAAAATGATAAGTTTAATAATTGTAATTGATTACCTTTACCATCCGGTAAAAACAGTTATATATATTATAACAAGACAAATCATAACTCTGGATAATTATATACATTTTATCTAGGCGTATTTCAAAAATATTAGCTTTAAAAATCAAAACTGCACTTTCCGGCAGCATTAAGGTAAATAAATGTCCGTCTGGTAGATTATTTGAAATCATTAGACACGTATTTTTATATTCTTGCAGAAACGAATACTTTCGACGATATATTAATTTGAAATGTCACGTGACGTCACTTCTATGTACATTTTATACGTTTTATCTAAGTATTGTTTTATTATACGACCAAATAAAAAAATACGTGTCTAATATTTTTTCATTACCTAACTGACGGACTAATTAGATTTTTAATTTTCATACCCTGTCGTCCTCCCCATTAGTCGGATGTTAAAACATTGATAACTAAATTCGCTACAATAATTTTCTGCAGCTCCAAAACTTGACTTGAATCAAATTCAAAATAGTCGAGGTTCCAGGAAACTATTGGCAACACAGCTAACACCTGACATTTTCGTAATGGCAACCCCGAAGCGCCGGCGGGTACGCGTGCGTTCCAAGTTCAAAGTTACATGAAACTAGCCAATTTCATAGACGCTTCATCATGTTTTCAGATTGTAGGGTCCATATGTAATTTCGTTTTGATTTTCAAACGTAGTTTATGTAGAAACTAGTACTTATGTTACTATCTAAGTAAAGGAATTGTAGTTTTGTGTGACTACGTAGTACATACACAATTTTCTCCTATTTATTTAATTAAAAATGGTCTTTGTCAAAATGAAACTTACTCCAGATTAATTTTAGATACCGATTACTGATAGTTGTTCTATATTTTCATCAGATTTCTTAAGCATCCTCATTGTTGAATCTGGTCCCATAAAGTAGATGCATGTCAATGTCCTCAATAAGATATTTTGCTGAACAATCTAATGGCAAATGAAATTGTTTGATAAAAACCTACCGTGGGAAGAACGCTTCGTTGCTTTATTGTGAAGCTAAGCAAAAAATTAAATCTAAGCGTAGGCCATTCACGATGGAGTCGCGGACAACTTCACCGGTTACCGGTTCATTATCTCGAATTAGAAGAATAAGAACGGGGTGGTTTTTAGTTAGTAAGAGTCTCACACTCCCTCTCGCTTATTCCAAGACGGGAGGAGGCATTGGATGACTCTTTAAACTGTCAAACACCAAGCGGTCACCGGTGACAGCAACCTATTGTTCTATAATTGTGTCTATAATGACGGTACTTGACGAGGCCATTCACGATTTGTTTCAGTTTGTTCTACTTGATACTGATGAACTAATGTGATGTGAACTCAGAATCTGACTAGGTTTATGAAAATATAGCGAGATTTGGTTCAATTCGTAAGTTCCTAGAATAGCATAACATTAAATCACGCCTTTTATCCCGAAGGGTTTGGCAGAGGTGCACATAACGGCATTTAACTGCACAACGTAACACTAATTTTTCAATATTTATGTTATGAGTCCCATGTAATAGGGGGTGAGCCTATTACCACATGACGGACACAATTCTAGACTGAGAAATTATAACAAAAATCCTAGTAATACTTTGCCCGACCCAGGAATCGATCCTGAGATCCCTTAATCAGCAGTCACACTTCCGACCACTCGGTCAACGAGGCAGTCTTTAGAATAGGTACCTAACTACATTACAGTATAAATTAAAAAAGTCTAGGAAGTACGAAAGGGAACGGAATGCAATATGGTGGCACAAGGCTGTATATTACA